TGTCATTAAAAATAAATATATTTTTATAGCTGTAATCTTTATTTTATTATATTTTCTCATCCTTTCAACGAATATGAAGAAGAGTAATTTGATACTTCATATTTACAATAGTAAATCAGCTGGAAACTTCAATCGACGATATTTCACGAACGGAACCAGCTTTGATTTCGGTTGAGCCAGATTTTCAACCTATAGGTACTCAGAAATAAGATGCCGTCAGCCGTTTTTGTCGTCAATTTAGGTCGAATTGTTCCGCCTTTCTGATCACCGTGCACAACTCTTTTTTATTATGAATAGGAAATAAACATAATAACTTTTTTTTACAATCCTGAAATATTTTCAAAAATTCTGACTTTTCATTGCAAATGCTATTGATCAAAACTAATACTAATTTTATATTTTTACATGATTTCGTAAGCTTATATTTTTTTTATAAAAGTTATTTTTTGCACATTGAAAGTATTCAAAGTTACAAAAAGTTATAAATTGGTTATATATAATTAGAATAAAATTCTGACATCGAAGAAGACGTGGTGATCTCAAGATCACTTTTAGACGAAAATGTTTCTACTGTAAATAATAACGATGACGAAGAAGAATCAATGGACGCAGAAGACATTGATGATTCAAATCAACCTGATGCTTGGGACTCTGTTAGTCAGCCAAGATCGGATTTTATGTTTTCTAAAAGCTTTGGTCCAAACATTCCAGATACAGCGAAATCACCATTAGACATATTCTCTTGTTTATTTTTTTCTGATCTATTGAATCATATTGTACATCAAACTAATCTGTACATTCCTCAAAAAAAGGGTAAGCAAAATCTCATCACAAAAGAAGAATTAAAAATATTTTTAGGCATTAAGATTCTGATAGGTATAAAAAAAATTGCCATCTTACCGAGATTATTGGAGTGAAAACCCTCAGCTACGTGATTCTTACATATCATCTCTCATGACTGTTATTCGTTTTAGTTTTTTTCTGTCTCATATGCATGTCAACGACAACTCTAAAGAACCAAGAAAAGGTGATCTAAATTACGATAAACTGTATAAGGTAAGACCACTTTTAGACGAGCTTTCTCGAACCTTCAAAGAAAGTTTCAATCCTGGTAAGCACCAATCTGTAGATGAGTCTATGATAAAATTCAAGGGAAGAAGTACTATGAAACAATACATGCCAGCTAAGCCTATAAAGCGCGGATATAAGTGCTGGACTCGCGCAGATGAGTCTGGTTACGTATGCTAGTTTCAAATCTATACCGGAAAAGCAGACAGCACTGAAAAACAATTGGGAACAAGAGTTGTAAAAGACCTTACACGAGAACTTGTTGATGGTAATCATCACGTATATTTCGATAATTTTTTTACTGGGGTGGAACTTCTTTCATCACTGAAAGAAGATAAAATAAACGCATGTGGCACGGTTCGGCAGAATCGTTCTGGTCTACCAACGAATATCAATGATAAAAAATCCAAAAAAAAATGGACATAGGAGAATATGAATTTATGACTACCAAGACAGGTCTTACCTGGATCAAGTGGATGGTTAAGAAACCAGTTTATTTTCTATCCAACTTTCACGATGCATCTGAAGTTACTACCGTAAATCGTAGACAAAAAGATGCCTCTCCTGTTGTTTCTTCAGATTACAATAAGCACATGGGTTATGTAGATTATGCTGATCGACTTATTTCTGTTTATAAAATTGATCGTAAATCTAAAAAGTGGTGGTTTAGAATATTTTGGCATTTTCTCGATCTAACAATAAGTAATGCATATATTTTGTATGGAGAAAAACATATAAAACCAACGTTGAAATTGAAAAAATTTCGATTAAATTTAGTAGAACAAATGGTAGGACACAAAATTCTAACTGCCAAAGGTCGAAAGCGCAAATCTGACCATTCTGAAGATTTTCGTTACCAGAAACCACAAGATTCTTTAGAGAAAAGACGCAATCAAGCAGCTCATATGCCTGTTTCTATTCAAAGCGCAAAACGATGTGTTCATTGCAGTACAAGAAAGGATCAAAGGAGAACAAAGTGGAAATGTATGACTTGCGATGTACCATTGTGTCTTTTGCAAGATAGAAATTGTTTCCAAAATTACCACACTTAGGTAAAGAATAATGCTTACTTTTTCATAACTTCATGGGCAAAATCAAAAGAAAATACATAAAAAATAGATTGAATAATTCTAAAAACTGAATAAAATACTTAAAAAAATTACTAAATTACTACTAAAATACTAAAAAAAGAATAAAAAAACAAAAAAAAACAAAAAACAAAAAAAAACAAAAAACAAAAAAAAAACAAAAAACAAAAAAAATGGAGCTAGTACTCTTTTACGTCCTCGTCGTTAGCTCTGGGTTACGCAAAAAAAGAGTAAATTTTCGAAAGTCCTCAATATTTTAACCACTGTTTATGTCGTAGTATTCGTCATATTAGATCTACAATGAAAAAAAATTAACAGATTCGTAATCAGCAACCGCAAAAACCCTTCGGTAGTGATTTTTAAGCTTGTACATCTAATTTATCGAAAATTCCCGAGCCGCCATCTTGAATCCGTCATTTTGAATCAATAATTTCTGCATTCTGACTTCATATTCGTGATCAGCGACCCCAAAAACCCCTTAGTAACGATTTTTAAGTAGATACATCTATTTTTTGGAAATTTTGGTACCGCCATTTTGAATTCGCCATCTTGAATTACAAATTTTGAAATTATGACTTCAGATTCGTGATCAGCGACCCCAAAAACCCCAGAGTAGGAATTTTCAAGTAAAACCACTGAACAGAAAAATATGTGCAACAAAGTGTTAAAAATCTCTCCTTTTTTGTTTGTTAATTGTTTATAAAGAATTATATATAGCGCTATTATGAATTTTGACATAAGAAACCTATTCCCCAAGCATCCAGTGTTTCAACAAAAAAGATTAAAGCGATCTAGAGCTTAGATTATTCAAGCTATAAAGAAAAAACTGAGGAAAAATAGAGTGCCAGAATACTGGCACCCGCCCCTGAAAGGGTTAATATTGATTAACGCCGTTAAGTAATTATACCTAGGTGCGATTAACTACTTATTTGATTTATTACTTTATTATTTGATGCTGCTGCGTATGAACTTCGTAAAGCTGAAAATGTGCGTAAAAGCTCAAATCAAACAGAAGATGAATCGAAGCAAATGTTCATTGGTTATAAAGTTTGTGATGAGAGCCACGGCTCGCGCCGCTGGCTCCATCAACGTCTCTCTCTCCCCGGCGATAGTGAGGGAGAGGGAGTAAAAGGAATGTGATTTGGGCGCCGGCGAGGTTGGCGCTCGTGAAGCGCACCGCCGATTACCCGCTACTTAAGGGTTTTTGGTGGGAGGAGCGCGGTGCCCGGCAGTAGACTGCGACAGGGAAGCGGTGTAACACGTTCTTTTTTTCATTTGCGTCGTCTAATTGCTAAGTGTCTTCCATGGCCTTTGTGAAACCCGTGAACGGGCCTATTTTCTGCGTTGCGTGTGCAGCGGAGTGTGGGTGTCTACCACGAGGCCTGTGGTCTCGAGAGAGGAGTTGAGAAGGTCCAGGGACGAGCCATCAGCATTTGCACGATCCGGTGACATCGAGAGCAGACTTCTTCCAGGTTGGTCGAGTTTTCTCTCTCTCACAAAGTCGCGTCACCGGCAACCCGCGAAGGTTTAGGGAGCTCAGCGGTTATTCTACTCGAGAACCTATGAAGAAATTAGAGTAAGATCACTCATAACCGTCGCGACAGCTGGGTTCCATGCGATCATCCGCAGGAACTCGCGGCTGCGGTGGTGTGAGTTCGCGATTGTTGTCACGCCGAGATAAGCAATGAGGAGAGTTGTTAAATTGTAAAGAGAAAATATATGTATTGAATGAAATTTGTGAATGATAATTGTGTTGACCATTTCTGCCTCTTCCTTCCTGTGCGCGTTGAAACATTGCCTTTCGCGTCCCCCGCGAAGCAGCTTGGTCTTCCAGGCCCCGATTTGTAAAAGAATTTGTCGTGTTCTCCGGCAACGGGAGAAATCGCATGACAAGTTTATTTAATTACTTTGTACGTAGAATATAGCCTAATATTCCCTTGAACGCCCCGTAGTAATGATGATATAGTTTGGTAATTCATATAATTAATATGCATTCGCTCTGTAACTTTAAACAAACCAAAAATACATCAAAATAGTATAACTATACTACAATACTATACGTATTTTATTTCTTTGTACTTTTATATTAAAAGAAGCTTAGAAGGAAAAATATTTCTAAAATTCTAAATTCTAAAATAATTTAATAATAAATTAAAAAATTTTAATTATTACATCAATTTCTGCAGTTCGAGGCAAGAAGCTTTGTTATCATAAATTTATCTTCATTTACTTCCGTGTAACATTGAAAATATCGAATTTTAGAAGTTCAATCGTCGTTTTCTCATGGTTATGGTGGCGGTAAAAATATAATACATTAATTCAATATATTTATTTGCGATAAACATTATGCTATTAATAATATCCTGGGATTATTCTAACAATCATTATAAGTGATAAACTGGAGTTTTCAAAGATTTGCATATACTTTTTCATGTTATTCCATCCTTTTTAAAAGATGAAATAAGTCACTGTAATCCTACAGTCAAAAGTACGTAACAATTATATTATCACTGTCAAGTATCTCTTAATTTTTTACCAAATAAAAATTTTGAAATTATTCTGAAAATTTGGATTTGGCGCCAAAGATTGTTTATCTGAATCAACTCTGTACAACTTAAAAAACTTCATAACGTGAAAAATAAATATTTCTCTACCTTAAAAATTGATCGAGATATTATTCATAGACCTTAAATCACATTAGATTATCCACTTTTGCTATAGGCAGGGTTTACGACTGTGAAAATCTATTAAAAGAATTCATCCTTCTCATAGTTTACTAGACTTCACAATCGGCTAAATCATTTGGAAGTTTATGCATATTATTATGAATAATTTTCATCTTACCTGTTGATTATGATGCTGAGAATAAGAAAAATTTTTAAATTGAAGATGATTTGTGTTTACATAACTTTTTTGAAAATATAAAAACTTTATGCAGTGAGTAGCACCAACCCAGCTGGTTGTAACACAAATGGTAACGCAAATACCAAAATAAATCTGTAACGATGAAACTTTGTATTACTTCAGTTCTTAAAACTATAAATTTTCACGATTAGTGTAAATATTATTATCATACTAATAGCTTTTACCAATTATTTATTTGTAAAATTATGTAAAAAAATTCACCATGGAATTTGTCGGTCGATGAAACAAACAATTGGAATTACAAATATAATCACTAAATTTACATTAAAGAATCTGAATGAAATCAGTAGATATGCGATGTGTGTTCTGGCTCATAGCAATCTCGGGCTCTCGGAGTAGGGCTAGATGCTGGTTCAGCGTCTGTAGCTTAAGGTGGGCGCGTGGAGAGGATACGGTTGCTAGAGCGTTCGACGGTCTCTATAGTGGTAGCTTGGGTGCCCGCCAAGCTATATGTTAGCTCAGTGTATGGACAGTTGATAATTGATAAAACATAATTACTTTTTCAAAATTAATGTAGATATATTGATAACACATCCCCACAAAAATTTTTAATTATCAAAACTAGACCAAGATACCTATATGTTTTCAAGATTGCTTATTTCGAACCTGACGTCGGTTTAACCTTATCAAATTAGGTTCAAGGTCATTTCAAGGTCAAATCCGCAGACTTCATAAAAAATAATATAAAATAGTAGAGATAAAGGGTTTTCGAGATACTGAAGCCAAATCCGAGGTCATCTTAACCTTATCAGGTAAAGTGTAAATTCATTTAATGATCAAATACACAGATATCATAAAATATAACTTTAAATAACGGTCAATAGGATTTTCGCTTACCTGATTTCCTATTTGAGATCGTTTTAACTATTAGAAAAGTTTTAAGTTCATTTTAAATAAATAGACAAACATAGTTAGACCAATATTCACATAAGGTATGACAAGAGATGAAGTATGTTTTTACACGTTAACATAGGTATATACAAAATATAAACATAGAATCCAAAGAGTGATAACATCAACAACAAAATAAATATTATGTATTCAAAATGTATCATAGACAGCTGTATTTTCAGCTGTAAAGAAGATTTTCTTCTTTAAGAATTATAACTGAGCACGGTGATCGTTTAAAGACTTTAGGTTTACCTGAAATGACGAAAAATTTTGAGTATGGTATTCTATGGTAATTGACCCGTAGAATCCAAAAATAAATGTCCCGAAATCGCATTTGCTCCTCTTTCAAAGAAATATTCAAAAATATCATTTTTTCTTATTTTTGATCAAAAATTGTACATTTGACATAGGAAAATGAAGTACACTCCTTAATTTTGATGCAAATAGTAAACATTTTTATTACATGGTAGTATTTGATGAATATTGTTAAAAAAACGTTCGCAGGAAATTTAGACAATTTTTAAGGTACCATATTTGTTAATATATTGGTTATACATTAAATACCAACATATTCAATCACCGTATATAAAACAAATACTCCTAGTTGTCTATCTCTAGGATCGGCTGTGTTTATGTTTACATTGCTCGCTGTTTCGCTGTGTAGTTAAGGCGGCTTAAAAAGCATTTTCGTCGGTGACTTATTTACTTTTTTTATTGAAATTATGCCTGTGAATAAATGCAATCATGAAGATAATTAAAAAAAGGTGTGTGGCTCTTGTGGGCAAAAAATTGTTTTTCGAAACAAAACTGTGAATAGTTTTTTAATTAATGACAATGTTGAAAAATTAGTAAGAGAGTATTGTGATAAAAATTATGATCTAAGTGATGCAAGATTTCTCCTGAGTATTTGTGTCTCATGTCGTCTTGCCCTTCAAGAGAGAAAAAAAGGAAATTTTCAAAGACAAATTTCACAAATACCAAACTATAAAGATATAGTCTTGGCGAAAGATACTCGAGCTCAAACATCTTCTGTGAATGGTAACTGTAATTGTTACATCTGCGTAACTGCTAAGTGTACTGATCATGTAAAATCAAGAAAGAAAGAAATACTGGATAAATGAGATAAACGAAACAAGATAAACGAATCAAATGGTTTGTATGGCTCATGTAAGTCAAAAGTAACACAGCTTAAAAAATGTTAGAATTCTACATCTAAATCTCAAAAAGTAATTCAATTATGTAAAGTGTGTTTGAAAAAGATAGGCAAAGGTAAAAATCACGTTTGTACTACTTCATCATCAGCTGCATGTAAAAATCTCATAAATTTAGTAGATAAGCTGTCAGATAAAAATCAAGAGCAAATTGCTTCTAACATAATAAAAAACAAAATTGACAAAAAAGGAAATACAAGTGCACATAAGACAGTAGAGCTTCATACTTTAGGAAAGCCCATCGAAATATGCCTCAACCTTAAAAAAAATCAGCCTAGAAACGTATTTACTGCTGCAAGCTTAGATGAATTTCAAACTACCACAGGTGTATCCAACAATCACATGAAAAAAATGACTGGCTTGATTCGTAAATCTGTAGGGAGAAAAGCTATACCGGCAAATTATGCAATGCATGTAAGTGTGTTACGTCTCGTGCATCAACTACGAATAGCTAATGAATGAGACGTTCCAATATGTTGACTAGTGGTCGGATATGTCTCACTTATAATAAATATATGTGGAAATGTATGTCTGATAATTGTACTACCTTGATAATCGTAGCCTTTAATTGTTGATATAATGTAGCAGGCTCTAACTGCTTGTTGCATTGTATGAATGTAGCAGGCTCTAACTGCTTGTTGAATTGAATAAATGTAGCTGGCTCTAACTGCTTGTTGAATTGAATAAATGTAGCAGGCTCTAACTGCTTGTTGAATTGAATAGGATAGGTTGTTGAATAATACTTGCACGATATTACTTTGTAACAGTCGCGAGTTTATTAAGTAAAATGATCACCAATTGTCGGACCGGTGTGTACGGAGTTGAGTCTTACAGGTACTTATTGACTGACTGACGGACTATTGACCAACTGCTGAGAGTGATTTGTTCATTGGTTTTTATATCTTTTATAGTTCTTTTTCAGGTCAGTATTGCGATATTGTGTGACATTTTGTTTTCGCTGATTATAAATTCTTGCGTTTTGGTGACTTAGTTTCGGAGTGTGTTTCGACAGCTTTTTGCTGTCGTGTGAATAGCTTAGCAGTTTTGAATGTGCATATGTTACAAAAAGGATGCGTCGTAAGGCTTAATTTCGGAGAGTCATTTACCTCGCGTTTAATTAGCTTTTTGCTGACGTGCGAATAGTTTAGTAGCTTTGAATTTCGCAAATGTTTATTTTATAAAAAGGATGCGTCGTAAGACATAACACCCCAGGGCCTAAGATATTGCAATATTTGCATACTTCTGAAATTCAAAGCTACTAGCGGTTTATACAGAAATTTTTGCGGTGTGTGCATTTATTTAGTATATGAGGAGCGCGGTTGCTCGACTTTGTACAGTTCAAGTTTTACAATGTTTGGATTTCCAAGGAAGCGTCATTCGATGGTCTGCGTAAGTATTTTACAAACTGATTTCTTATTCGTTGTTATTATTATCATTATATTTCTTTATTCTAGTTTGCGGATTGGCAGTATTCCCGTGCGGCAAAGAAAGCCCGACGGGAGGGCTTGCCTTTACCAGTCGCGCCTAAGCCCGGGACCCGAAAATATGTGAGAATAGATGTAAGTGTTTTACAATGTATGTTTGTATATTGGTATATTGATATGTCTGATTAATTTGTTTCCTATTTGCTTGTTAGTTTCAGAGATGGCAGTTAGTGCGTACTCTGAGGCATTGCGATCGAGTGACACAGACGGCCTTCTTCTTGGGGGAGTATGGTCCAGATGAAGATACTTGGAATCTTCGCGAATTATTTTTTTATGATTTGTTAGTGTATTGTAATGGTTTTCGTCGAGTATGTGTGGAGGTTTTTAGTGAGTTTTACAATGTAATCATAGGTCCAAGTGTAGATCTTCGATACAATTGTAATTGTATATAAGTGTAATTATATTTGTAGACATAATTGTAATTTTGTAAAAATATATTTTTGTTTTTTAGATAAGGAATTTGTTTTTAATTTAGATCCCTAAAGCGAATATCTCGCTTCCCTCCCCGCTTAAAATGTGGCAACATTTGAGGAGTGTCATGTTTGTATTATTTTAATTCTAGTGAAAATAAATGTTTATTTGTAGTTGAAAGAGTGGTTTGATTGTTGAAGGTAAAATGTGGTCTGTTTGGTAGAGGAGGTGGCGTTATGCATCTAGGTGTTGAGATAGGTATTGTGGGGATAATCTTGATTTTTTGCAGTTCTATGTGTTTTTCTTTGTCGTTGTCTGTTCTGTTTTTGCTTGGTTTCTCGAGTTTGATGAGGAGGTGTGTAATAGAGCTGAAGATGGCTCCGAGTAGGTGGAGCGACCAGCCGTAGATTGCGTGTAGTGCGTATCCTCTAATTATTGTATCTATTATTAATTTTATTGTGTTTATTAAGATCAATGTCATAATTATAACTGAAGAGATTGATCCGCAAGTGATCATTTTGTTTATGATCATATTTCAGGTGCTGACTGCAATGTTTTTTATGGTATTTTCTGAGAAGATGCTTCCACTCGTTGTCACGTCTCCCGTTATTTCTCTTGCTATGTCATTGAGTATTGATGTTCTCTCCATAGGGAACATTATTTGTTGTTGTAGTTCGTCTAGTTCGTCTTGAGAGTATACTCCACTTGTTGCTAATGAATTTATTGATTTGAAGTTCCATCCTATTTTTGTGTTAGGTCTAAGTGTGTTTGGTGCTGCGCATGGTTGAGGTTTGGGTGTGAGTCTTACCCATTCTTCTTCGAGTTTGTAGTACGTTGGGACGAGTGCGTTATAGTTTATCTGTTCCCCTTTCTTTTTGAGGATGTGTGTTTTTGATGTCAGGAACCATGTTTCGTTTCCAGAGATTACTGGGAGTTCGTTGTAACATTCTTCTAATTTAATTATTTTTACTGTCTTTGGTACACATTTTATTAAGTGTACTGCTTCTCCTGCAACTCTTGCGATGTATCCTGGTTTTTTCATGATGTCGTATGCAAATTCGTCAGGGGAGAGGGT